CACGACAAAAGGATGCTGCCAGTTCTCAGCCTGCTTAGTCTCGCTGCCATCCTACTTTATTTCTGGGGTCGCAATTGTTCACTGCCCAAACGAATCACACTAGACGCATTCCTGGTGAAACCGAATATGACACAAAATGCGTGGCATGCGTTGCCAAATCTACGACAACTCCAGTGGCCCAAACCTCCGTGTGCAAAGTCCCCCACCGGTCGGAAATATCGAAACGGAACTGTCTATCCCCTACCCCCTGCGTTTCTCCCGGTGATGAGTTGTGGTCAACGAGCATTGTCAAAACGCATGCTCAAACGATTCTCTGATCTGATGTTCGAAAACGGTCTGGGTGATCGATTCATTCTGAACGCAGGCACACTGGTCGGATCGTTTCAACATCATGATTTTGTGCCTTGGGATGACGATGTCGACGTGTTAGTCGATCTGGGTGTGCGTACCAAAGTACGTGAACTCCTACAGACCCTGGAACCGGAATTCAAATCAATCGCACATCCACGACATGATAAAATATTTGCACCGATTATAGACGAGCGACTAAATGATTTCGATGTGCAACGAAGCCGTAAAACATCCCGGTTAGCTTGGGGCTGGCCGTTTCTCGATATTGGATATTTTGAATCAAATGCGACACATCTGTGGGATCAGACAAATCGCAATCAACCGAGTAAAATCCTAGCGAAACTGATCGTGTTCCCGCTCATGTTTCGACCACTCGGTCTGGACTGGTATCCGACCCCGTACGACACACTGGGCTTTATACGCAAAGTGTACGGTAAAACCGGTGGCTGTTCCATGTTCGGCTATTCACACGTCCTAGAAGGTCGAGGTCCACGGGGTCACGTGTCCTGTTGGAATCTTGGTAGACGATACGCATTTGTCCAGCGCACGTTGGCTCCACCCGGTCAATACGAATTCGTGGATTCTCACTTGAATGAAGTGTTCACAGTCGGTGAGGAAATTCTATTCTACCGTTCACGGAAAGGTCCACTGATTGTGCACAAAATTCCCATACCCACCTTTCTGAACTACACCGATGTGAACGCTTATGCATTTGGGGATGAGGATTTGGCATGAAAGACCTAGATTCAAGTGAGCCTCATTGAGGTTGCAATATGTATGTTTTACAAAACTTTCTCGTCTCAAGGTCATCGAAATCTGAGGGGTTTTCGGCTCACGGATAGGGTTAAATTGATTCAATTCTCTCTTTAGTATCATCGCTGATCTGTGCCCAGTTTCTGTGTCATATATCATATTAAGTGTGTATCATTTCAGTCATAGTTGCATTTTGTTTGATTGCACCACATCACCAAGGAATGGGATTATTTTATCCGTCATCATAAAGTAAACTTATGGAAATTTTGCTCTTCATTGTTCCTATTCATTTGTACAGTTCTTTTCCAACCTATTGGAACAAGTCAATAATGTACAATAAACTGTCCGCTACGCCCTTCATAACTGCACTCTGCTAACCTATTTGAATAAACCATTCTGATCAGGTGGTATGATTTTAAATTGATTCCTGAGTTCACTAGGACATCCTTTAGTCGATTTCTCACATAACCCCCCTGTGATTCTACTCGGATGGCATCTTGTGATTCCCTCGACCTTTTGAAGTAAGACGTTTATCCACTAGACATTCAGTCTAGCAATCATTGTGCAATGCAGGCCATTCTGTTGGACACCAACGGCCGAGGTCACGATGCGACAAGCCCGGTTATGGTTTATTAGTCAAAGTCATTAAAATATCGACCTGAGAGTAATGAGTTCGAACCCCATCATCCTCCCAG